TTGAAAGATTATATTTATCAACGTGACACCACAGTGTTTCTGCAACAGCGCTGAGTCCATACTGTAGTTCGTCGGCTGTTTTAGTTCCTGTGCGTGCGTGTGTGTGTGTGTGTGTGTGTGTGTGGTGAAGGATCACAGTCGTTTATTTCCTGGTGCAGATGTTCTAATTCCTTCTTTTTCTTTCCCAAGTCGGACTCCTGAAGCTGCGTATCAGCTGATAGCGAGTACTGATCTGATGCCACTGCATTAATAAGACTTTACCAGCTGTTTACTGCTGCATGGACGTGATGTGATTGTGATCGCTGTTGTTGTTTGGCTTGTTTTTATTTTTATTACTGGTGGGACTTTCCAGTGTAACCAGTCGGTTACAGCATCGTTCCAGCTCAACTTCCTGTGTAGGCTACTGTTTTAGAGCAGAGAAGAAGAAGTGATTTCTGGGAAAACTGCTTCATCTGGGCATGAAACTGTAAAGTTTATTAATAAATGACATTGTTGGTATCAGATTGGAGGAGATTTGGTTTAATTGGCCTGTCGTGCTCATTATGATTATTCTGAACATAATGGACTGTATTTATTTATTTAACATTTCCTCATTCGCACGCCGAGCTACCATGGAAGGTGATGGTCTGACCGATCAAACCACCAACACCTGCAGTCAGTGACGAGGGCGGGTAAGACATTTTCAGGGCTGCTTTGTGGTCAGCGACGGGAACAGACACTAACGGGTGTTTTGCAAATCAACAATGCGCGATAGACTTTTTTAAATCTTTTATTTATCCCATTTTCGTTACTTCCTGCATCTTTTATTCACCTTCTCTTTCTCTTTCATCCTTTTTGCTTCCCTCCCGTCACAGCCGCTCTCATCTTTTCAGAGCACCGGCTTTGAACACCAACTACAGGATGACGGCGCGGATGTTTTTACTTGCCTGTAGCTGACATGTTGACACGGCAGGGGGAAAAAGTAGGACGGAGAGAGGGAGAGGGAGAGAGAGAGAGAGAGAGAGAGAGAGGAGGATGAGACGACAAATTCTTTCATGTTCACGCTGGATTTAGTTGTTTGTCTCTCGTGCTTAACTTGTTCTGACTGAAAACCAAACGTGCTTTTATTTTGAAGTGAACACGCAGCAAGAAGGAGTGTGTTGGTCAGCAGGTAAAGTTTTATAAGTTGATAAATTTTGATGAATTTCACACATTAACCTTGATTTTCTTCGTCACCCTCTCAACACTTTAACTTCTAATGGGAACAAAGACTCTGATGGTTTTTCTCCTCCTCTCGGTGGAAGGAGGCCGAGTGTTTAATGTTGGTGTGACAGAATGAGGGAGGTGGGGGGGCGGGATGGATAGAGAGGGGGTGAGCACGTGTAGGATGGGATTCTCTGGGCAACGTGACAGCGGGGAGGGGGGGAGGGGGGGGAGGAAAACAAGACTGAAACTCAGTAGCACAGTGAGGCTGTGATCGCTGGAGAAACGACAGATGGAGAGACGACCTGAGTGTTTGTCTGGGGATCGTTCAAAAACCTTCGATATCGGTGCTTTGTTTATGTTTCTTTTATTCTTGAAAACCAAACCACCAGAGGTAATTCCTACTCGTCGACACCTTGACTTTGACACTGATTCTTAACGATTCCTTTTTCAATGCTAATCTTATCAAATCCGTTTTAACAAAAGATAAAATTACAATACACAAATTTTATTTTTAGTCTGGTTTTATTTTCAATCTCAGTCTCTTTACACACTCAAATATCTTTATTTAGATAAACAGCCAATCACCAGCTTTATTAGATCTTGGTCCAAGCATGCTACATGCTAATTGGCTCAAGGACGCTGATTAAATTTACTAATTTATTCCTAAATTTATGGGCATCAAATGATGAGGCATTTTTCGATCTGTGATAAAAGGTTTCTCCCCTGCTTTGTGGATACTTGAGGACATGTCACACTCAACACGTCAGGCAGCAGTCTGAAGGCTAATAATGGCCGCCGCAGCCTCATCATCGCCACTGTAAACACAACAGCGGCCGTGCCAGAGAGCTCGGCGCCAGTGCCAAGGAGGGAGAGGAGCTGCTGCTGATGTTCCTGGTGTCAGAGCCGTGAACAACGTTTTAGAGCTGAACTTCCAGAAATGAAAGAGTTAGGCGGGTGGAAGTTAGCAGGTTATAAACATCATCCTCTGGGGACCATGAATCATCATTAAACAACGTCGCAGTTACAGTTCACACCAGAGCTGCAAAACACTTTGTACTGTGGTGCAAAGGTGAAACTGAAGCTTCTGACGCAGCCATCGAACAACACGAGTGAGTTTAGCTCTGATGGTCAGAGAGACCAGAAGTCCTTTTGCCCGCAGTTGAACCTTATGACAGGAAATAAGTTAATTTCCGACCGCATTATTGCTCTCATCGTGAATGCTGACAGAAGCACAGGAGACGTTTACTGTAGGTAACGCAGGCGGCGCGGCACGCAGAGCCGACCACATGACGGCAACAAGGACCGAGGTTGTTTGGATCCTGCTGTGCTGGCATGTTGGTGACCGCCGATAATGACATTACAGCGAGCATGTGGGTGATGTCAGAGGAAGCTGATGGACAGAACAAGATAAACAGTTAAGATCTGATCAGTTCTGTGGATTTCTGTTTCTTTAATAATCTGCTCGTAAATAAAATTATGTTCAATGATGGAAATTAATTAATGTCATTCCCATCTGGTTCATTAATCTATAAAAATGTAAATGTGTAAATCAGCTGACAGCAGTGACGGGCTCTTATATATCATTGTGTAACGCTCATGGAAATGACATGATTTGCAAACCGTGCAAACACAATGTCATTCCTTCACTAATTAATTTATTCTTTCACAAATGAAGTAGTGTTATCATGTTAGACTTTCAAAATAAAACCATGTGATCAATTTGGGAGGTCGTCATTTATATTAAACTGAATTTGTATAGAAATATTTTGCACTGAACTGATACTGTACTGTTTACTGCTCAGTGATTACTGTTACGATGCAGTGTCGACGGTCCCTGCTGAAGTATACGGAGACAGGCAGCACTTGGATTGTACAGTAACTGAGTCGACATAAAGTGGGTCAGTAGAATCAGATCCTGATTTAATATTCCGTAAAGTCTTTTCAGCTGCTTCACTTCAGTCTGTGTCGGTTTGTTTTGTTCCCTCAGTCGAGATTTTTCCCTCAAAACTTCAGAAAACTTGAGAAAATTGCTTCTTCCACTCTGAGAGAGAGAGAGAGAGAGAGAGAGAGAGAGAGAGAGAGACGCTGCAGGGCATCAGTGATGAGTCATCACTTTCATCTTGTGTTTTTCTTTTGCACGTCGACATCCAGTACTTGCCGTTACATTTGCACACACACACACACCGCTCTTGCTCACGTATTGACTCACCCAAAAACACTCCAACTTCACATCAGACAAGGGAAGGAAAGGATTAGTTTGCCAACACCACACACACACACACACACACACACACACACACACACACTTGTTCTCTATGGTTTAGTCACTCAGTTTTACGCAGCACTATTAGGGACCTTTTTAAGTCAAATTTATCACAGAGGTCATAATCCCAAAAACCATTGTGCATTAATTTACCTGAATGACATCACCTGTTAAATATGACAGGATCATGACATGTTGTTGAGGAGCATCTGAAAGCACACGGGGGGGGGGGCACTGCGTCCTCCAAATGGTGTGTCCTGCTCCGTCTTGAAAATGTGGACTTCCCTGAAACGGGGGCTCAGCTTGCGTCTTTGTCCTCCCTCTCACCTATACCCAGCTGCTGTGCAGCTGTAACAGCTGGAGTGAAATGGGGGCGCTGCCGTGTGGAGGCTGCAGCGGCTCCGAGCCTCGACGGTCTGTGTGCGCTGGACGCTGCAGCTCATGGCTTCAGACACAGTTTTTCTTCTTACGTTAACAAGAAAGACACATGAGTGAGAGATTTCCTTTCTGGTGATTTTATCTGGAGTTGAAACGATTAATTGATTTTAATAGTATTCTGATGATCGATTAATCACATCATGTTTTGTTTTTTTTTTAAAGCAAAAATGCAGAAACTTTGAAAGTAATCTTTAGGTTTTGGACCGTTGGTGGATCAAAACAAGGTATTTTAATACGTTGTAATGAATGTTTTTCACATTTTTCTGGACCAAACAATTAATTGATGATTGAGAAAATAATCAACAGTTTAATAATAGTTTAGTTGAGGCTCTAATTTCATAATGAGGTTAAAGCATTTTTCTTTTTAATAAGCAGAAAGTGTCTGGTGTTTCCCTTCAGACGCTCCTGAAATAAAGCGTTATGTTTACTGCGGATCAGTTTACACATCAAGGTTCATACCAGAGGAAATCGGTGAACTGCGGAGAGGCGGAGCAAAGGTCACGGTCGCTGTGTTCAGTTAATGAATTGAAATACTTCCTTTAAAAGCCGATGATCTTATAATTTTAGGATTTTTATCTTTACAAAAGAAGAAGTTTAATCAAATTTCTGTTCCTCTATTTTTTGTTTTTCTGCCAAATACTGTTTTTCCTTTATAAACATCTTTCAAAAATTCCATTATCAATACGTTGTCCAGCTGTGGTCCTGTGTACCAGCTGCATGAGGTCATGTGACTTTACGCTCGACCATGTCCGACCTCTCCTGCCTCCCGTTATCCGCGGACACGTGTGGATCACACATCCACAGACAACACATTCATTCCACCCTGCGAAACAACACCCTCGGTCTCGTGTGTCAGGAGCCAGGGTGTGTAAAGCCTCAGCTGTGCGGCCTCACATGAACCAGACGAGTGATGTCATTGAACGCAGCACGCCGTCACAGCAACAAAGAGCTTTACTGTTGTGGGTTTGGTGCTGTTGCTGTTGTTTTACACTTACACGTCTGATGTTGGTTATTTCAAGACTTAAAACTTTATTGATAATATCACTGGAATGATTAGTGATTGAATTGCTCTGCAGCAGTTGAGTGATAACGTCTCTCTGCGTCTGTCTCTCAGGCGCAGCTGGAGGCCCAGAAGGCCACGCAGGACTTCCAGAGAGCCACCGAGGTTCTGCGGGCGGCGAAGGAGACCATCTCCCTGGCCGAGCAGAGGCTCCTGGAGGAGGACAACCGGCAGTTTGACTCCGCCTGGCAGGAGATGCTGAATCATGCCACCCAGCGGGTGAGGAAGGGGAAGGGGAGGGGGAGGGGGAGGAGGAGGAGGGAGAGTTAAGTTAACAGAAAGATATTTCACCTCAGTGTGTGTGTGTGTGGTTGATGTGTCTGACGGCGTGTTCTGATTGGCTGTCACAGGTGATGGAGGCGGAGCACACCAAGACGAAAAGCGAGCTGGTGCACAAGGAGACGGCGGCCAAGTACACGGCAGCGATCAGCCGCATGAAGCAGCTGGAGAAAAAACTCAAACGCACCATCAACAAGTCCAAGTAAGAGGCCGAGTTCAGCGCGGCGTCACGGCCCGGCGTTTAACCGACCGTCAGTTACTGTGATCATGTGACAGGGAGGGAAAGAACAGGTGCTCAGGTGGATTCATCATGTTCTCTGACAGCAGCAGCTTCAAACGGATGAAACAGTTTTCACCTGTAAAACCTGAAACCTACGACTGAGTTTCAGGGTCACTGTGATGGGAGAAAAATTTAGAGAAGAAATTATGACAAATAATGTAAATGTAACACAAATAAAGTAAATACGTAAATAAGACTGTTTTAAAATAAACATCTTAATATTACAACTTTATTCTTTAAACATTACGACTTTTTCTTGTAAAAATTACAACGTTATGTTGTAAAATTACACGTTTTCCTGTGAAATTGTTACTTTTTCACGTAAAAAATTACGACTTAATCTCAAATTATGATTTTATTCTCAAAATATAGTGACTTCTAGAGGCTGTAACACAGTGTCACTGTTCAAACACTCCAGTCCACTCCAGTCCAGGCTTTAACAGACTATTATCTGTGTTTAGAAACAAATCTACTTCTCATTCATTAACAGAGTTATTCTACAGTCATACTGTACATCAGTATTTGCATCTAGCTCTAGTTTCCAGCCTGGTTCTCTATATATATATATATATATATATATGTACTTTATTCATCCAGTAGGGGAAATATATATTGGAATCACACTATAACAGCAGTCAGTGCCCATCAACAAGAGAATCAGCCCACGACTCTCACTCACAGACGCTCGAGACTCGAGTGTCCCGCCACCTTTTACTGAAACTGTGGAAAAACATACACTATTACACAGCTAATAAAGTGAAGCTGATGTGGTTTGTAGTTTCCAATCAGGTGAAAACAACTCCAGCTGTTCAGACCTGATGTGGCCTGATGTGTTCCTCTGTAACGTGGCTGCTCCCTGAAGCGGTGAAAACCAAATCATGACCACAGCGTCCTGTTTGTTTTAGACAGTCAGGTGTCAGAGGGGAAGTCGGGCTCAGTCTGGTCACGAGTCGATGCCAGTATTACCAGTTAACAGGAAACGATGCAGCTGCAGCACAGAGACCCCAGTCAGTGATGTTTCAGGTGAAGTGGAATTTAAATGAATGAAAACTCCAGGACACAAAAGTACCTTTGATATTTTTAACCTCTGCTTCTCAGAGATCAGCTGCTACTGAACTTTGGTTTGTGAGTTGAAGTTTCAGGTTTTTGAGAAACTGCTCCTTTAATACTTGAGCCATGTTGTTGTGCAGGTGTTTTTTGTTTTGTACTTGGGGGGGGAAAACCAGCCTGTTCTAGAGTAATGACGACAACTGGACAAGCCGTCAGTTCACGACTGAGAAAAGCAAAATGTCAAACTTGTTACATCGCTCGGAGCAGTTCAGCTTCATTGATGGAAACGTTATTTGTTCTGTAAAACAAGTTTTAAACATGAAAGAAAAAAGTTGGAAAAAAAGAGCCATGATGACGGTTTAGAATAAATACTTCAGGAAATAAGAAAATGAAAATTAGCTGCCAGTTTCTCTTTAAATTAGTTAAAATGGAAGAAATTGAAATTACAGATTTTTTTGCTCTAAGTTATATTTTTAAAATCCAATTATTTCATGGTTTTTTTTATTTTTTTATTAAACTGAGAAATAAATCTGCTAATAATTTTCTTGATTGATTGAGAAAATAAATACACATAAAAACCTCTTTGAAATTCTCATTATAATTTCCTGAAAGTCTGAAACAGTATTTATAAAGTAAGTATAAGTGTTAATGGCTCTGTGTGCAGTGTGTTTCCTCGTAGATGAATGCAGAACAGGCGTAGTAAAGACAGAGAATATAAATCTTGTGTTCTTCCAGTTCTTCTTTTACAGTTTCAGGGCTTTGATTTTTCTCACTCCTACCTCTGCACCTCAGTGGTGTCGCTGACTCGCTCACGCAGCCGCTTTTAAGAAATTAAAAACGTTTTTTAAAAGGTGAAAATAAAGTACATTTTCAATCATAACTTCACCAGTTTTATATATATATATTTATATATATATATATATATATATATATATATATATATATAAATAACACACTTGCTTTGTNATCGCAGCCTTGCTTTGCGTTGCCTCAGCAGGTTGCTAATCCGTTCCCATCCGACATCACAACTCCTTTATCTCCCTCTCCTCCTCCAGGTTGCCATGGTGATGATGTGGGTACTGCTGTTTTCTGGGTTACTCTGTATTTTTCCCCTCTGATCTAATCTCTTCCTCTCTTCTCTCTCCTGACCACCCCCCCCCCCCCCCCCCCCCCCCCCCCCCCCCCCACCCCTCCTCTGCAGGCCCTACTTTGAGATGAAGGCGAAGTACTATCTGCAGCTGGAGGTACGTGACGGCTGCTTAGCTCTAATTCACTTCCCTCTCCGCCCCACTGACAGCCTCTGAAGGTTATGAGGACGCCGTTCTCTGTTTACGTCCGTACATACTCCGGGCTGTAGATCAGTCCGTCTGCCTCAGGCTGGGATCAGATTGTCGGCGAGCAGCAGTTACAGCTGTTAGCGTCGTTAGGAACAAAGAGCATCATCACCGTTAGCAACAGTCTGACAGTGACTCGTGAGCTGTTTAATTAGCTTTATATATATTGATGCTTCCAGGCTGGTTTTCATATCGACTTGAAGGAAAACTTCATCAAAAACTGGAAAAAAAATGATTCAAATGTTTTATGTTAAACATGAAAATATATACAGTACATAAACATATCTTCTTATGGATCAACACTTTAATGTGAGCACTGTTGTAGGTCAGTCGTCCGTGACCTTCATCATAATCCTCCTCCTCCTCCTCTCTTCGCTCTCTCTCCTCCAGAATCTGAAGAAGAACGTGGACGAGCGGCAGGCCAAGCTGACTCAGGCCAAAGGCGAGTACAAGGCGGCGCTCAGGAACCTGGAGATGATCTCCGACGAGATCCACGAGCGGCGGCGAAACTCCGCCATGGGCCCCCGGGGGAGAGGCGTGGGCGCGGAGGGCGACAGCGTTTCCGGGGACGACATCTCGAGCTTCAAAATGGAGTCCGATGTAATATCCAGTGAGTACAGCCTCTCTCTCTCTCTCTTTCTGTCTGATGGAGGCATTTGTTGCATAAACTCGTATTGTCGGTGTTCAGCAAGGGACTTGGTCGATTCTCCTGATGAGATAAAAGGCCAATTAGCAAAGGTCAAACCCTCCCGTCTCGCCGCTCTGCTGCCGACCTGCTCACCTGGTGACACTCTAAATGTCAGGGCGAGCTGTAATGAGATGTAGACAGCGCTCTGTTGTCATTCAGCCTCCTTCAGTGTTAAACAGCACAGATTAAACACGTTAAATAAAGATGAGCGGTCTGACTTGTGGAGCGGAGACGGACGCTGACGTCAGCGTAGAAAACAAACACAGAGAGCTCTTCTCTGAATTCCTGGTTTTTATTCCTGGAAAGTCTGATACGGGACGAGAGTTGTGAAGGACTTCAGCGAAAACAGGGTTAATGACATAAATGGTTCAAATTTAATTTAATTGTAGGTCGTTTAATTCGAGCGGTTTCTTTCAAATATCCCGTGGAGAGAGAAAAGTCTGTCTCACACAAACACATGTATGTTCTAAGATCACAGTGAAATGAGGCGTTTCCTGACCGATGCCCCTGAAAGTGACCCCCGACCTTTACTCCACGACGAATTCTACAGCATGGCCTCATAACAACCACTTTGGAAAAAAATGCGTCAAAATTTTTGACTATTTTCTGACATTTCATAGACGAAATTAAAAGATTAGAGATTGAGAAAATAATTATCAGATTAATTGATAATGAAAAGAGTCATTAGTTACAGTTGCTTTAGCTTTAATCAATTTTCTGTAATTTCTGCCTTTAGTAGAAAATAGTTTCTACTGAAGGTAGAAACGACCTCAGTGTGAGACAGTTTCCAATTACTAGTGAGATATGAATTAACCAAAGAAGAAGAAACATTATTTAGATTTTTACTTCTCCAAATCAAGATTTTATTGATTGAAAACTTATAAAATAAATTGGACATTGTTTCTGGAAAAACATGCAGCTTTATTTAATTATACTTTAGTTATACACAGAACTCCACCAGATAATGTAATTGTCTCCTATGTTGGTTTTGTCATGCTTCAGTTTGAGTTTTGTCTGTCATTCTGGAATCGCTCTGTACAATACCCATAAGCCTTGGCTGCTGTTGCCATAGAGAAGTAAATTAGAGGTTTAGCCGGAGCTGTAGTGAATCCAGAACAAAACATGGCGCCAACATTGATTCAAAACTGAAAACTGAGCTGATTTTAAGCTGCAGAAAATCAGTTTTCTCCGTGCTGTTATTTTTAGCTTTTGTCCTTTTTTTTTTTTTTTTTTTTTTTTTTTTTTAGTGACACACAAAAACAAATTTCAAGCTCTGTGATTGGTTGTTGTTTTTTTTGTGAAATGCACCTTGTAAGTCGCATTTAACTTCAACCTTGACGCCTTCATGTCCACAGACGTGTGACTTTGACTTCTTAGAGCAGAAGAGCTTCAACTGTGAGTCACCGATCAGCGTCTATGGGGAAAAATTAAATAGAGTCAGGGTGGTCTGAAATAGCTCCTCCCACTACACAACTCTATAAAAACCTGTTGATGCTTAGCTGCTTTTTTGTTTGTTTTTTGTTTTTTCATTGCAAATAATTTCAGAGAATTCAACATAATGTTCAAAAGCCAGTTTGATAGTGGTCCACATCGGTGGAGGGCCTGCACGTACAGAGACACAGATCTTTTTGCATCCTTCTGGCCTTGAGTATGGCATTAATAGGACAGTGTTACCATGGTAACCGCAGAGCAGCAGAGGCATCCAGTCAAAAGCAAGACGGCAACGATTTGTGAAGTTGCATGTTAACCCTTTTTTTTTACAGAGAAGGAATGTGCAGCTGTGGCTGAACAACAGCAGACACTGACGGTGCGTTCGTGTGCTCTGATTTCAGTCAGGGAAAATGAATCCACTGGATGTGATGTGACAGCGTAGAGTCCGCTCAGTTGTATTTATATCTGTTTGTTCATGTACTCACACTTCTTTTTCTTCCCTTCTTTTCTCCCCCTGTTCATTGTTCATCCGTCCTTCCTCTTCTCATTCTTCTTTTGCTCCATCCCTTTTTTCCTTTGTCCTCTACCTCTCCTCCTCCTCCTCCTCCTCCTCCTCCTCCTCTGGTCTGTTTCTATACTTTCTCTCCCTCTGTCTTATTTCACTCCTATCTTCCTTTTTCTTCCTTCCTACCTGTTTTCCTCCCTTCATTTCTTTTCTTCCACCCTGTATCTTCGTCTTTCCCTTTATCATCCATCATCCTTTGTTTCATCCTCCCCTCATTTCCTCGCATGAATTCACCTCTACTTTCTTCCTCCCTTTGACTCCTACCTCCTTCTTTCATCCCTTCATTCCCTCCCCTTTCTCTCTCATTTTTCTTCCTTCCTCCCTTTTCTTACACCTTTTCCCTCCATCTTTTTTTCTTCCTGCCCCCTTTCTCTCCGACCACTTTTTTCTCCCTTGCTCTCTTTTCCTCCCTCCTTTTTCCATCTCTCCTCCCTTCCTCTCCTCCCTCCCGCAGTGGCGTCGGTGTGTTTCGACGATGAGGCGTGTGGCGGTGGCGGTGGCGGCGGCAGCATCATGTCTGAAGAAGACTCTGAGACTCACTCCACCTGCAGCCTGGGTTCGTCTCCCAGCAGCCCTCAGGAGCTGATGTCGCCCTGCCCCTTCGCCAGCTCTTCCTCCTCTTCCTCATACACGTCCTCCTCCGCCTCTCCGTCACCGACTCCCTCCTCCTCCTCCTCGTCCTCCCCTGCTCCTCCCTCCAGGCCCTGCAGTCTGGATCTTCCCAGCACCGTGTCGTTGTCCGACTTCAGCCTCATCTCGCCCGTGCTCGGGCCTCGCAGCGAGTGCAGCGGAGCGTCGTCGCCTGAATGCGACATGGAGAGAGGTGGGTGATGCGGAAAAAGCTTAAATAAATACTGGGTTATTCTGCTTCCTCTTGAAAACCAAGAGGAATTCAAAACGTACCTGAGCCTATCGAAGCGTAAAAACTTTGTCTTGAATAATTAATGAACAAAAAAATTTAACCATTCACTGACCTTCTTTCTCCTTCGCTGCAGGTGACCGGGCGGAAGGTGCAGAGGGGGATCTGGACAACGCTCCCGCCACCAACAACAACAGCAACGGCAGCTCCGCCTCCACTTCCACCATCAAGAAGACCTTCAGCCTGGAGGCGCGCTTCAGCTTCCTGAACCTGCGACGCCCTCGCACCGACAACGCCAAAAAACTGGACAACTGCTCCCAAAAGGCGGAGCCCGGGCAGAGCGTGGTCCTGGTCAAAGGAGTCTGAGGGACAAAATAAACAGAACTTATTATCGTGGGATTCTGACTCTTGCCTCGACTCTTTCTGACCCAGTGACAGACTGATTCTGACCCAGTGATGAACTATGACGGGCTGTTTATAAGCTAGATGCCACAACTGCACTCCATTTCCGAACTCCACTGCTGTTGAAACTGTGTTGGTGAAGGGTGATGGAAGAATAAAGATTGTTAGAAATTATTCTTCATGTTATTTTATTATTTTTTTTCCCACTAACAGCTGAAAAAGCTCCTGTCACAAAAGCAAATGTACACTAGCTGCCTGCGGACGACCTCCGACTCCGGATCATCTTAAACCTGCTGTGTTGTTGTTGAATAATTGGTATAACTTTATTAAGACTGAGGATTTATTACTGTTAAAAAGCATCGAGCATGCTGTAAACCACACAGAGGTGATGTTCTGCTTCATTCAACACTTAAAAGAATGTGGATATGTTCAATAAATAACTGGTCTCTCAACCTCCTGCTGTACAGTGCTATATTTCATATACAGTATGACCATGTTGTTACGTGTGTGAATTGTTCAGGTTCTGTCACTGTCGTCCCTCAGATGTTTCAGATGGTTATTTTCCATGTGAAATACTTAAAGTATAGTTCAGGTTAATCTGAGCTTTAGCTTTTTACACCCAGTTTTTGTCACCATGAATGTGATTAGGCAGGACTTTATTGGCTATGAAAGTTGGGCTTGGACTTGGACATAATTACCAGACTACTTTCCGACTGAGGTACTGGTGAGTAAACGATGCATTTTTCTTCCATGGGGACCGATCAAATTTAGGTGAGGATTCACATTTAGAAACCATTAGATTGCGAAACGGGTCGTGATATGCGCCACAGCTGTCATTCATCTGACTTGGAGCCAACAAAAAACCCCCGAACACATTTCAGGCACAGAAATTTTCCTTGCTTTGAGCTCTGTCAATTACTTTTTTATGTCTTAATCTGCTATGACGTTTTTATGCCTTACTATACTATGACATTTTTTGATCTTTTAATGCCTTACTATACTATGATGTTGTTATGCCCTACTATACTATAACGTTTTATGATGTTTTATGCCTTACTATACTATGACATTTAATGACTTTTAATGCCTTACTGTACCATGACGTTCTATACCTATACTTACTCGTTTTTATGGCTTTTTTTGCCTTACTATACTATGACTTTTTATGACTTTTTATGCCTTACTATACTATGACTTTTTTATGACTTTTTATGACTTACTATACTATGACTTTTTATGCCTTACTATACTATGTCGTTTTTATGACTTTTTATGCCTTACTATACTATGACTTTTTATGCCTTACTATACTATGTGGTTTTTATGACTTTTTTTGCCTTACTATACGCAAACTTTTTATCACTTTTTATTCCTTACTATACTATGACTTTTTATGCCTTACTATACTATGACTTTTTATGGCTTTTTTTGCCTTACTATACTATGTCGTTTTTATGACTTTTTATGCCTTACTATACTATGTCGTTTTTGTGACTTTTTTTGCCTTACTATACTATGACTTTTTATGCCTTACTATAGTATGTGGTTTTTATGACTTTTTTTGCTTTACTATACGCAAACTTTTTATCACTTTTTATTCCTTACAATTCCTGTACTATACTATAATTTTTAAAATGCCTTACTATAGTCCTGATGTCATTTTGATGACTTTTTTGCCTTCACTATATTATGACTGTTTTTGTGCTTACTATACGTATGACTTTTTTTATGGCCTTACTATAGCTATGACTTTTTATGGTACACTTTTATGGCCTTAACTATACTCTATATCGGTCGTTTTTATGACCTTAATTTTGATCGGGCCTTACTATACTATGGTGTTTTATGCCTTACTATACTATGTTGGGTTTATTAAAATGATTTTTATTTGCCTAACCTATAGTACGCGAAAACTTTTTTTAAATCCGACTTTTTATCCTTAACTATACTATAGGGGTATAGGCTTTCACCCACGACTTTTTTATCCTATACGGTATTAGCGTGTGACATTGTGGCATTATTGTAATGACTTTTTTTGCGCTCTTATCTCGATATTATTGGACTTTTTTTGCCTTAGTATAAAGACAGGAAGACGGTTTTATGGACGTGCAGATAGTTTTTTATACGGACTTTTATCTTAATATTGAGCTCCTTGTACTAGTTGACTTGCTGGAGACTCTTGTTTCACCTTGAGGCTATATGGTAGGCGCTATTTGGACTTTTTTAAGTGGACATTTTTTGTATAGCACTCTGGTTCGAGGCGGTCCAAAAACTATTCGGGTTTTTAGAACTTTTTATGCCTTACTGAAATATACTTCATGGTCGGGTTTTGGGTGATTTGTTTTGCCATAACCTATACTAATGACTTTTTATGGCCCTTACTATAACTATTGTGGTTTTTATGACTTTTTTTTGCCTTAGACTATAGCGGCAAACTTTTTGATCACTTTTTATTTCCTTACTATACTAACTTATTTATGCCTTTAGCTTATTATGTCATTTTTATGACTTTTTTGGCCTTACCTATTATGACTTTTTGCCCTTACTATACGATGTCGTTTTTATGACTTTTTTTGCCTTAACTAATATCTATGACTTTTTATGCTCGTACCTAGGTACTATGACTTTTCGTATGACTTTTTATTGCCTACTATAATTCTTGTCCGTTTTATGACTTTTTTGCCTTACTATACTATGTCATTTTGTGACTTTTTATTTTGGCCTTAACTGATATTATACTTTTTTATGGACCTACTATACACTAAGGGATAGACCTTTGTTTAGTGAACTTTTTATGACTTACAATACTATGACCTTTTATGCTTACCTATACTATGACTTTTATGACTTACTAATACTATGTCGTTTTATGACTTGTTTTAATGACTTACTGAATAAGCTTTGGTTGTTTCATACTTTTTGCCTTACTAACTATGGACTTTTTATACTTTTATATGACTTACTATAACTATGGAGCTTATTTGATTATACTTTTTTATGACTTACTATATACTATGACTTGCTTATGCCTTACTATACTATGTCGTTTTTATGACTTTTTATGCTTAACTTATATATGACTTTTTTTGCCTATCTATATTATGACTTTTTATGCTACTATACTATGTACGTTTTTTACTGACTTTTATCTTACTGATACTTGACTTTTTATTACTGTTTATGCCTACTAATACTGTGACTTTTTTATGACCTTTTTTATGCTACTATAGCGTATGACCTTTGTTTATGATCTTTTTTATGCACTTACTATACTATGCTTATTATGCCTTACTATCCTAGTCGTTTTAACTGATGTTTTTTGCCTACTATACCTATGACTTTTTTGCCCTTAACTATATTGATTGACTTTTTTTGCCTTAACTATAACTATGACTTTTTTATGACCTTTTTAATGACTTACCGAAAACTAGTGACTTTTTATGCCTTACTATAACTATGACTTTTTATGCTTAGCTATACTATGACTTTTTATGAACTTTTTGTGCCTTACTATACTAATGATTTTTTATGACTTTTTATGACTTACTATAAGCTACTGTCGTTTTTATGACTTTTTATGACTTACTATACTATGACTTTTGTATGACTTTTTTATGCTTAGTATACTCATGACTTTTTATGCCTTACTGTATGCTATTTCGTTTCTATGACTTTTTATGCCTTACTATACTATGACTTTTTCATGACTTTTATGCCTACTAATACTATGACGTTTATGCCTACTATATCTATTTCGTTTTTTATGACTTTTTATGACTTACTATACTATGACTTTTTATGCCTTACTATAGCTATGTCCGTTTTTATGACTTTTAATGCCTTGCTATACATGTCGTTTTAATGTTACTATACTGATGTCGTTTTTTTATGACTTTTTCAATGCCTTACTATACCACTATGAGACGTTTTTTATGACTTTTTTATGCTTAAACTATATACTATGGACTTTTTATGACTTTTTATGACTTAACTAATACTATGACTCTTTATGATTTTATGACTACTATACTATGACTTTTCTTATGCCTTACAACACTATGTCGTTTTTTATGCCTTTTTTGCCTTACTATATTATGACTATTTGCCTTATTATATCTATGATTTTTTATGACTTATTTATGACTCTACTAACTGGGAGAAACTTTTATGCCCTTACTATACTAATGACTTTTTAGACACTATCTATGTCGTTTTTATGACTTTTAATTGACTTACTATACTATGACTTTTTTATGACTTTTTAATGACTTACTATAACTATGACTTTTATGCCTTACTATACATGAACTTTATTATGCCTTACTATATATGTCGTTTTTATGACTTTTTTTGCCCTTACTATATTATGACTTTTTTTGCCTTACTATATTATGACTATTTTATGCCTTACTATAACTTATGTCTTTTTATGCCTTTTATGACTTACTCATTTATGATTTTTTATGCATATTTTTATGACTTTACTATACTATGAATTTTTATGCCTTCTATACTAATGACTTTTTATGAACTTACTATAACTATGTTCGTTCTTATGACTTTTTATAACTTACTATACTATGAACGTTTTATGACTTTTTATGCCTTACTATACATGATTTTAAATGACTTTTTTATGACTTTTACTTATAACTATGGCCATGTTTATGACTTTTTATGCCTTAGCTATACTATTGTTCGTTTTATTGACTTTTTTTGCCTTAGATATAACTTGACTTTTTTTGCCTTACATATTATGACTTGTTGTTTGCCTTAACTATACTATGACTTTTTATGCCCTTACTATACTATGACTTTGTTTGTAATGACTTTTAATGCCTTACTATACTATGACTTTTTTTTATGACTTTTTATGGATTACTATACTATACTTTTTTTATGACTTTTTATGCTTAAGTATAGCTATGGACTTTTTTAATGCTTACTGAGGGTACTAATGTCCATTTCTATGACTTTGTAATCCTTACTATACTGACTTTTTCCAGTGACTTTTTATGACTTAGCCCTCT